ATTCTATTCTATTCTATTCTATTCTATTCTATTCTATTCTATTCTATTCTATTCTATTCTATTCAGTGGCCAAAGTTACAATGGCACTGAAAAATGACTTTTGAGTTTTTCACACTGAAGATCATTGCAGCATCTCTGTGATCATGTGATTTAGATTCGGATGCTTGACAACTGACTCACTTTTATGATGGTTGCAGAGTGGTGGGTCATATGATCACCTTTTGTGAACTTCTGACAAGCAAAGTCAATGCATACACTTAACCTTGTTACTAATTTAACAACAGTGATTCAATTAAGTGTGGCAAGAAAAGTCGTAAAATGGAGCAAAACTCATTTAACAAATTTCTCACTCAGCAACATAAATTTTGGGCTCAAATTTTGGTCGTAAGTCAAGGACTACTTGTACTTGGATGGGAGAGCACCAAGATTTCCCAGGGCTGTAAAATCAACCGGGGAGTTGAAAAAGAAGGCAAGCACCGATTGCTAGAGAAAACTATTGATTTTCCCTTCTATTCCCTCATCTAAATCATTTGTGAAGTTATTGAAGAGTACTGGGCCTAAGTCGGAACCTTGGGGTACCCCACTGCTTACTTCACTGCATTACTATAGATATAGATGTAGTACTATTAAGAACTTGTTGAGTATGGTTTGTCAGCAGGTACAAATCCATCTGGTGGTATATTTCTTAGGACCAGCCTAGGAGTTGCTGACTGTCCCTCTGAATTCTTGGACATAGGCTGCAACAGAACACCTTCCTTGCTTGATGGTTTTGATCCTGGTTTTGGCCCTCTTATCTACCAGCAGATCCTCAAACAATTGTCTCCGGGCCATCGTAGAAGCTTCAAAGTTGTGTAACTCTTCAGCATCTTCATCGTGTAGTGCTACAACCCAATTAGTAGCCTCACCTTCTAGAGGTCTGGTGACAGAGCACCACTGTGGCAGATATTTTAATAAACTTGATTTTATCACTGCCAGAACATAGAGAATGTCAGACCTGCCCCAGCTAGGTCCCTAGGAAAGAAAGACCCTTGAGTCCAAGTGATAGGTTCTTTTACTAAGGATTAGTGGTTGCAGCAAAAGCAAGGCCAGATCTGAGTCTTCTCGTGCAAAGGTTACAGTTTTCCCCTTTCCCTGGCTTTCTCCCCTTGACCAAATTAATAGCGTCCAATGGCATCCCAGCTCAATGTTTTGGGAACCACTTTGATGTCAGGTGTGTCTCAAAGTGGTTTCATGTTCTTTTCTAGGCCAGGCGTACTTGGGCAGCTGGATCATTCTGGTTTGACACTTCTGGTTCCTGTCAGTGAAACAGCTGAAGATGGCAGTGCTGAAAGAAGATCAACTGGGGGTTAATCAAAGTTGGGTGTTTTGGGTTTTTTTGTTAGAATCAAAACATGAACCCTACTATTACAACAAAAGTATGCTAAAATTAGCACAGCAAGTTGATTTAAATAGTGTGTTATATTCTTCCAATAAGGTTAGATTTCATAGTACATGATTGTTGGGTGCTATAATTCACATCTTTTACATTTTTTATTTCTGAAAACTCACATGTTTCCAGCTAGATAACAACATAATTTACAACACATGGATTGGAAGAAAGTTTACTTTTCTCCAGAAGAGCCTCTGGAAAACCTATATTAACCATCTTTGTTAATTATTCCTGGTTTGAACTGAGCTTGCATTGTTAAAGTTCAGCACTGCTTTTATTATGATTATTATCACTGCCAACTCTGCATGATGGAACCATTAAAGGTATTCCAAAGAAAGCTAGGTGAACAGCAGAGAAAATGAATGAATTCTTTGCTTTCATCTTTATTGCCAAAATATAGATCAGATGATTAGACTTGAAGTAGATTTTGAAAAAGGATCAGAAGAACCAAGACAAATAGAAGTAACGAGACATGAAAGACATATGAACTAGGAAAATAAAATATCTGGATTAAAATAGTGTACACTCAAAAAATCCTTAACAAAGTTAAATATGAAATTACTGACTTTCTCATAACATGCAACTTATCTTTAGCATTAGCACCCGTTTGTGACAATTAGAAAATACCGTATTTATCGGCGTATAACACGCACAGGCGTATAACACGCATCTTCATTTTAAGAGGGAAATTTCAGGAAAAAAATTTAAATTTCTAAATAAAAACACCGCCCGGCCTCCGCTCGCACCGCCCGGCCTCCGCTTGCCCTCTGCTCGCACCGCCCGGCCTCCGCTTGCCCTCCGCTCGCACCGCCCGGCCTCCGCTCGCACCGCCCGGCCTCCGCTTGCCCTCCGCTCGCACCGCCCGGCCTCCGCTTGCCCTCCGCTCGCACCGCCCGGCCCCCGCTCGCACCGCCCGGCCTCCGCTCGCACCGCCCGGCCTCCGCTGGCTTCTTAACATTATATCGGCGTATAACACGCATACATCATTTGCCCCCTATTTTCAGGGGGGAAAAAGTGCGTGTTATACGCCGATAAATACGGTAGCTATTTTCACCTCCATTTTAAAAAGAGATCAAGGAATTATAGAAGAAAAGCTGCAAGTCAGTTAATTTCACAACTGTTCATGGAAAATGGTTGAAGGTACTATCAAAAAGAAGGCAAGCAAATGTAGAAGAATGAGCCTTGCTGAAAAGTAACATGGCTTCTACATGGTGAGTTCTTCCACACTTTTAGAAGGTGCCAACCAATAGGCATTGCATACTTGAATTTTCAAAGATTCTGACAAAACCCTTCATCAAAATCTCTTGAGCCAATGTAGCTGTTGTGGGATAAGAAGATAAGTGCTCTTGGGGGTTAGCAAGCAGTTAAAAAATTTAAAAGAAATAAAAAGGTTTCAGTGGCTCCTAATTCTGACACCTGGTTCAGAAGCAGCAGGGGTTGAATTTCTGGTTGTATCTTCGCTTCCAGTCCTTGCCTGATGTTTTCCAATTGCATGCAGTTGCTTACAGTGGGACTTGAGAAATAGAACTAGGCAAATCTTGCAGGATATTTCTGAGGTCTTTATCTCTTACTATACAATTATTTACCAAATGTATAGTTAGATTCCAATGAAATTATATAGGTAGTGCTCGACTTACAACCATTCATTTAGTGACCAAAGTTACAATGGCACTGAAAGTTACAACGGCATAAGTGACATGACCATTTTTCAGAGTTACGACCTTTGCAGCATCCCCATAATCATGTGATCAAAATTTCAGATGCTTGGCAACTGGTTCATATTTATGACCGTTGCTGAGTCCCGAGGTCATGTGGTCACCTTTTGTGAACTTCTGACAAGCAAAGTCAATGGAGAAGCCAGATTCACTTAACAACTGTTATTAACTTATCAAATGCAGTGATCCACTTAACAACTGAGGTGAGAAAGTTTGCAAAATGGGGCAAAATTCACTTAATAAATGTCTCATGTAACAACAGAAATTTTGGGCTCTATTGTGGTCACAATTTGAGAACTACTTGTTTTCAGGGGTGGGATTCAAATTTTTTAACAACCGGTTCTGTGGGCATGGCTTAGTTGGTGGGTGTGGCTTGGTGGTCAAGTTATTGGCTGGGCGTGGACAACTCAATATCACTCACATCGTGGCACACATCTCCTCGCCTGGCCTCTCATGACTGTGGGGATGCTGCAGTAGTCATAAGTGAAAAATGGTCATGTCACTTTTTTCAGTGCCATTGTAACTTTAAATGGTCACTCCACTTAAGCAAAATACCAGCAAAAGAGGGGAAAAAAACTCCAGAGAAGTTCCTGACAGGAAGTCTAGTCCTGCCAAGAATGTAATAAGGGTTAACGGAGAGGCAGTTTCTGTAAGCAACACCAGAATGTTTCCTTCCTGCCTTCCTTACAGGATTAGGCCAGTAATTTCTTCTAACAACCGGTTCTCCGAACTGCTTAGAATGTTAACAACCGGTTCTAGCGAATAGGTGCGAACTGGTAGAATCCCATCCCTGCCTGTATTTAAGAAGCCATGGGGGGCGGGGGGCGGGGAAGAGAATGCTTTTTTACTTATAAGGTGTGTAAGAAACACCTTAATGAACAGTTCAGTCGTTTACTGTACAGGATCATATCTCATTCATATATCCATTTGTGAACTCTGGATACTCATGCAATTATACGGATGAATGTTGTGGTACAAGTCCTGAAGATTAATGGCAGAGTTTTCTATTGTTTTGTTGGAAAAAAGCACAATAAAAGCATAATGTAATGGTGACAGGGTGGCTGGACTGATTACATGCCATCAAGTCAGTGTCAATTCTTAATAACCGCATAGACCTTCAAAATGATCTGTTCCAATTTAGCTAATCAAGTCCTACAATGGTTCACCCAAATCTGCTATTCATTCATTCATTCATTCATTGCTGCTGTTCATCTTTTCTTCCCAACCCTGGAGACTTTTCAAGAGAATTAGAGCTTTGTCTATTGTGCCAAAATAGGTCATCATATTTCAATATTCGATTGATTAGTTCTACAGTCCATTTGTTTCTTTATTTTGGTATCTTGACTATTCTTAAGACACTTCTCAAGCACCAAAGTTAAAAGCATTTTTTAAATCCTGCTTCTTCAACTTTTGCTTCCATAGAATAATAAAGGAAAAACATTTCCTGCAGCACTCTTTTCTTTAAAGATATAGACAAATTATGATATCTGAATATCTTTTCCAAGGCCTTTATTGCAACCCTACAAAGTATATTTATTTCTTGACTGTTTAACTATTGAAAGGCAAAAGCTATTCACCATGTATACAATCATATGCTTGGTGGGGGGACTTTGGAAGTCTTCTATCCAATGTTCTACCCAGGACAGGGATCCCAGATAAATAGTTGTTCAAACCTTGTTTAAAAGCTTCCAGGAGACAGGATGCTTAATAGCTCTCATGGTAAAAAAAAAACACCTCCTCCTTATTGTAAACAAAATCCAAAACAAATAGCTGTCTCAGCTAGATGACCGAGTAGGACAAATGACATTAAGCTGAATAGGAGGTTTTCCCATGCAAACAACACAAAGGAAAGTTCCCTCTTCCTCACACAGCATTCCCTGGTTATCTGCAAATGTCCAATCAGGTGCTTGAATATTGTTCAGGAAACAAGTGCTTAGTCCCCAGCCTTGCCTATCTTGAATGACCTTGGCTGGCTGGAGCTTCTCACATGGCTCAGCTGGGCTTCCATCCTCCCCTTTCTTCCATCCTCACACAATTCCTTGTGTGTCCAATCACACTTGGCCAATAAAAATTCTATTCTATTCCAATCCTTCCGTCTCCCACAACCTCCATGCTAATGTCTGGCTGCCAACTCATGAAGCTTGGATAGGTGAGATGCAGCCATGACAATAACCCACACATGGGGGGAAAAATCCAAACAGTTCATGACTTCTTATGCAGTGACCACATCAAAATGCCATGCCCTGGAAGTCCCGATAAGGATTTCCAATTCCAATGATTTCTTTATGGCTAATATAATCTTGGCCTTCTTTTACTTAATCTTAATCCTGTTTTTTTTCCACTGTGCTTCTTGACTAGAACCTCCAGATCTTTTACATTTTCAGCTATCAAAGTACTGTTATCAGCATACACAATTTGTTAAAAACACTCATTTTTTCCATAGACTCTCCTTCCATATATATGAAGCATATTGGTTGGCAAAGCAATGAGACAAACATGTCTCATTCCTTTGCCAACCTACCACTAGACTGTTTTGCCATATTTCAATCACACTTGCAAACCTGAAGTATATGAATATACACATATACTACATGTACAGAATTGGACAACCTGGAATCTGAATGGTCAGACTGGAGAAAGGACTTATAGAAATCATGCTTTTTGCAAGGCCATTTCTTCAGGTTAGGATAAATACTGTTTGTGATTCCCTGTAGAGCAAACAATGAAAAAAAAAGATTCCATTGGGTTGTTCTTCCCCCTCACACCCACATATACATACATTAAACAGGTCAAATATTTTTGTAGTGCTCCAACAAGACAGCAGAGGACAATGCATCCATCTTGGCCAAAGTGAAGACTCATTAAAATGTCAGGATTGTGATAGATGTGCAATAGACTTTGGGTACAAACCCACTGAACATTCAATATCCGTTGAACCAAACAATGTCCACAATTTTCGAAATGATCACTTCTGAGGTTCCAATGCTTTTTTTCCTTTCAAAGAGCATCGTCAACTTTAAAGTATTTTGAGATAACTGGTATCAAGCAACAAAACTGAGAGAACATGTTGTCCTACAGAAGTTTGATACCACATGGTGTCGCTCCATTGTGAACTGAAAATGCTAAGCATATCTGGCACCATTGTCTGAAAGCAAACTAAATTTTGTTCTGTTCATTTGTTTTAACAAAAAAAGATGTATTTTTCCATTCAAGCATTTTGCTTCTCTGTCTCATAGAGAACACTGATATACTGGAATGATTTTAAAAGGCTTGTTTTTATTTTCATGATTGTACATAGGTAATTAAATTATACCTCAACACACTTATAAATGGGTATGTATGCTACTAAATAGTTAATGACATGAATTAATGGGAGGGATTTATTTAACTGTTAGCAGTGTAAATAATTTTGTATAGACAGATTACGATACTTTGGTGAAGACCTTACAAAAAGTACAGGCATATCTCAAATAATATGAAATTATGCTTCAATTTCTATGTTAGCATATTGTATCGGTCAATTTGCTTCAAAGGAATTTTATATATATATTTAAAAAACCAACATGCCCTCCATTTTCTATCATTATGCATTCTTTTTCAAAATATAAGTGAAATTTTGGCAAATAACATTTATACCCCCCAAAAGTTTTATATCAATCCCAAATCAATGTATTCTACAAAATTAGAATAAATAAAACTATACCCTTAATATTTCATTATTAGGCTGTTATTTAATACAGACCCAAAGCAAGAAGCACAAAGATTAAATAAATTATGGTTAATATGAGCAGAATAGAGCTCAGAATAGTAATTGTTTCTTTGGAAACAGCTGTACATATGGGGCAAGTCTATACTTTCATAATTTCTGCTGTCCTAGATAGTCTTGCTGAAACTAAAAGAAATAAGTTACTTTTGCAAGTGGACATTACATTTGACATACACATTCACAGTTAGTTTAGCATATACACGTGTATATGTACATATGTGTGTGCACATGTATACCCACAAATACATACAAATGTAGGACAGGGTCAGAACTTGTTTTGTGATCTCATATAAAGATTATGTTGGAATGAAATTTAATTTGCTTTTGTTTAAATGTCAAAATTTAGAAACTGATGAAATTAAGAAACTTGTCAAAACAACTACAGTCCTTCCATGCAAATACTTGAAAATTAAAATAACTAAATAGGACTGAAATCAAATAATATTACCCTCTTCAAAGCAGAGGAATGTTAATATGCTTATTAAAAAAACAAAACATGTTCATGAAGGTGGAATCCGAGCAGAATAAAAATTGTTGACCATAAAGTGGCAGAGACAAATGGAGCAATATTTCCTCAAAAATCTGTAACAGGGACAATTGTGAGGGACAATATTTAAATCTATACTTTCAAAACTGGACAATGTCATTTTCACCATTTGTACATTCTCTGTAACACATACTTTAAAACTACATAAACCACTTATTCCAACATATCCCCAGGGAGATCAACTTGATTTTTATCTGGAAGAAATAATTTAATATATTGGTTAATGTAGGAACAAAACAAACTTATATCCAACAGAGGGGATCTCTCTAAGTTGTTTTAAATACATTTTCTTTTGTTCAGTTTTTATCTAGGAAGAAAACTCACAAATGTCTTAAAAGTCTGTTTTTCAATAGAGTAAATAATACCAGTGATTCTAAGAAAATAATTAAATGTTCATATATTTTTTCTACAGCTTAAATATTTTAAACATACATAATTTGCCATTTTGTATTGTTGAATAATCTACCAAATATTTAAATGGATCATTTAAAAAAATTATTAACTAGCACAGAGGTTAAGTAAACAGCCAAGTCAACAAACAAGTTATAATGACAAATTTATAAGTAAAAACAAAAGTTGCATACATTTTTCTCACAGTTGAGATGAAAATAAATGCAAGATTACAACATGTTTTCCATAAGATTTTTGGATGTATGGTATGTGTTCCTCTTTAAATGATTAAAACTACTATTAATATAAACATTAGACATTTGAAACACAAAATTAATACTGAAAAATAAAGTTATTAAAAATAAATTAGTAGATCTGTCTCTTAGAATAGGCAATGTTGCCAAACCCATATCAATCTGAAAAGCCTAAGTTAAAATACTGCAATCATTTATAATTTTCTTAAGGGAAAATGTTTCCAATAATTATGCATATTTTTAGACAAGTTTTTGTTTAGAAATATTAATTTAAAAACTACATACTTATGTGATATATGTGCAATATACAAAACATTAAATGTAATGTATTCGGTTCAACCTTCCAAACAAACCAATTTGTGTATAACTTTTTGAAAATCAATGCAGTTTTGAAAAAGTAAATATTAAAATATGTTTTGCCCATATTGAATGCTGTATATGATACAGTATACAGCTGTATATAATACATTCTGTATTTAATACAGCTGTATTAAACATAACCTTGCATTTCTGTGACATAAAGTAAGCTTTTAAATAAACAATTAAAAGAACCAGTTTCTTTTTTGTTTGTTGTAATCTTTTTTAATTTTACTTTAAAAATATGGCAGTAGTAACAATGAATTAAAATGAAGCTCTTTTTATATAGTTTTCTATGTTTTCCTAATTGTCTATATTAAAGTCACTTATTAGCTTTTACAGTGACTGCACTGAGTTTTGAGTTGAAATAGAATTTCATATAATCTTATATAATCTGTAGCCCCATTTATTTCACTGGGAAGAAGTTATTTTATAATAAATGATTTTTGGTAACCTGATTGCAAATCTGAAAGCTGAATCACTTGGCATAGATTCAATTATAGACTGCAGTGTCACTTAAGTTTCAAGTTTTATGTGACAAAATTTAGGCACTTCTGCAAAGACTTCTTTAAAAAATATTCTCTCCTTGTAAAATAACATAGTCAAGATTTTTGTTAGGGGTATGAAAATCATACTGTGCAAAGGTTTGATTTAATTCTAGAATGTTGTGATTCCATATAACTTCTCCATACATATCCCAAAGCAGCTTCTGTGCATTGCTGCAATTTGTGCTTTACCTTAGATCGGGATGAAGAACTATGGCCTTTTTATAACTTGTGGACTTCAACATCCAGAATTCAGCTCGTCGTGTTGATTCAGGAATTCTGGGAGTTGAAATCCGCAAGTCATAAAGGGTCCATAGTTCGCCACCTTTGCCTTAGGTCAGGGTGTCAAACTGGCGGCCCGCAGGCCAGATGAGTCACACACAGGCCACGCCCACCCTGGCTCCGAAAAGGCAAAAAACGCTACGAAGCATCATGATACGCAACGTGACATGATTGAGTTTAACACCTGTTCCTTAGATCTTCTGTTTCAGCTTCATCCAAATGACTGTGCCTCAACCTAGGTTTCTTATGACTCCCTGGATTACCTAACCACCCACCTACCCATAGCATGACTATTGGCTATGGTGGTTGCATATGCTGGAAGAAGAAATACTATTTATTCGAAGGACAGCAGGCTAGAAAAACTACTCCGTTTGGAACTTCTAGAGGTGATTCCACAACAGGAGTGTCAAACTGGCGGCCCTTGGGCTGGATGCATCACACAGGTCACATATACCCCAGATTGCTATACATCACATGACATCAATGTGACGTGGCGAGTTTGACACCCGTGCACTACTGCATCACTTACTTTGTGACCAAACAATCATCACAGTGCAAATAGTGGCACTGATAATTTTCTAAAGAATTCCCTTGACTTACATCCCTGGAACCAGATTCTCCTTTTTAGCATTATAAAGTACTTTTGAAAGTCCAGTTTCAAAAGCATTTCTTTGTGCAAACTGGGGTGCAGGGAGGTCAGCTGAAGAAACATGCAACCAAAGCAACAGCTCTCATGGGAAACTATTTATGTAGTTAGATCCTGGATTTGGTGGCCAATGTAAATCAGTTTATTGCTAATATTGAAAGAGTCATAAAACTGTGAACCCTGCGATACATGAATGGGACTACTTACATTCACTATTTATGGTGGTAAGACAATATTCCTAAGTAAACAGTGTTATATAAAACTTTTAAAAGTAAAATATTACCCTTTTATGTCTTGAACCATCACAGCTGGCATCAGGTAGTTAACTAGATTAGTTTTGAATATACTAAGCATACCATCTTAATATTCATATATGATATAGCAGCACTAGCTCTTAAGTGTGTTTTCTCCAGATGAATAAACTCTTTACTCAGCATGCAGTTTGTGGCAATTCTGTTAAGGAAGAGACAGGGTTGTATGTACAGTAACAATGCTTTGCTGTTCTCAACAAGGCCTCTTGACATTCCATTCCATTCCTGTTCATTATTTCAGGATTATCTGTTAGAAGAAAAGAAAACAAGGATGATTTTCAGTGCAATACTTCATTGGAATATTGGAATATTTAACTCTATTGGAACACTTAATTCTTATGAATGCTACTACTTTTCTCATTTTTTACAGTTTAAATTTAAAAAATTCCATGTAGCACATAGAAGTGCATTCATTTAGGATTTTTACAAGTTAAAATATATACTACATGCAAAATTTTAACAGTAATGTTTATTAATTTTCAAAGAGCATCAGAGACCAAACCATGGATATTTAATCTCATCTTATATGCTTACTATTGTTTGGAAATAAGTTACATATTCAAAAACAAAATACCCGATTGGGATTTTATTTCAAAACTATAAGCACTTTTTCCTTGGATGTTGATTGGACTGAAAAGTCTGTTTTTTTTTCTTACAAGTTACAATTAATTAACCTCAATACAGCAGACAGATATAACATTTAATAATTTTTGGAACATGATTTTAAAGACTTTTTTGGATTGCTTTCAGGTTGTTTTATTGCTTTTTTAAAAAAAATCTGTAGTCTGAAGCTTCAAATTCAAAAGTCTTGTCAGATTGAAATTTATGTATTCACATACACACTATAAAGACAGAATTTGGAATAATGTAGGATAGTCCATATATCAGGCTTTAATCATATTTTATAAAATTGGATCAACACACTATCCTATGAAATGAATCATACAATTTAATACTAAAAAATAAACACATAATTTTTTGGGGGGTATGTGGTTTTTTAAAAAAATATTTTTTCTCAGATCTTTTAATCAACTGTTTGCATTGTTTATATGTGCATGCATGTTTGTGCTAATATGATGTATGTGTGCAATATAAAGACAAATAATGTACTAACACAGGAAAGTATTGGTTGAATATTTTGCTTCATTTTTTGCCTGCAATAACCCTAGCCATTGCAGTTTATAAATCATAATTTAATGACTTAGTGTGTGAGTCTTTGGTAGGCAAACTATTTTACAATAAACAAATACAGTTGTGTGGGGGGAAAAAAACAAGTTTCATGGAGGTTTCATGTGATCAAGTTTCATGGCATGTTTTCCTACTCTTCCTTGCAGAATTTTGCTGGCTCAGAAATATTTTTTATATAATGGAAGATACCGAAGCTGGGAAAGTAGCTGGATAATTCAGTAAAACAACACTCTGGAATAACTGTTAAGTGCTTGCAGGAAAAATAGGTAAAGGTTTGGAAACAATCTTCTCAGTCCTCTGACTTGAGTATTATTGAGAAATTGTAGGGTGATCTCAAAACATATTATATATGCAAGGACACCTAGGAATATTTCTAAACTAGCAATGTTCTATAAGAATGAGTGGGAAAATATTCCAAAAGAACAGAAGGATTCTTGAGTTCTGGTGGAGGTGGCCAACTGACAACACGCCCAGGGAGAGATCCTTGGGGCTCCCTGAAGGGTTTTTCTCTGGGCGATCGTTTTTTCAACTTACCACCAGAAGGAATTGGCATTCCTTTAGTTTATATAACTCTCTTGGATTAGGGAGAATCCTAGAATCATCCCACAAGATCCTCCATACAGCAAGCAGCTTTAGGTGTGCTTTGCAGAGAGCTGGTGAGCCAGCAACTGGGAGGCAGGGCTGCAATCACTATGTTGTTGAAAAAGCAGCCATTTTCGAATTTATTTTTCAAATGGACAGTAAGTTGTGCTTTTCATTTCTTAATCATTTTAAGAACTATTAATCTTTATTAAGCTAAGAGAAGCTGTCTTTAGTCACAGCCAATTTGGGGATTTCTTTAATTGTTAAACAAGGAAGAAGGCTGCTGAAGGCAAGCGAAAATAAGGAAGTGTGGAGTATTTTTTTTTCAACTTTGATGGAGAAATATAGAAAGTTGTGGTTTTAGTTTATTATCTTTGAATAATTTGTAGCTTGGTCTGCTTAGCTGTGGGGGGTTAAAACACTCTCATTTTTATGAATCCTAATTGGCCAGTAATTCTAAAGTGATCTACCAAAAATCTTTGACCAAAGAGGGAGTTAAGAAGATGGCGGAGCAAATTATTTGGAAAAAAAATCAGTTTATAGACCAGTTATGTTCCAGGGATGTTAAAAAAAACAACTACTCAAATTACTTCAGAGATGCTATTATGTATAGGAAGCTACCAAACCACTGAGGCAATTTCACAAGTAGCTGACAATGCCAAAGACTAAATTGCAATCTTGGAACATAAACCTGACACCAATCTTTATTATGATGGTTTAAATATAAATCTCCCAACACAATTGAAAGAAGAGTTCCAAGAGAATCTGTAACTTTCGAGAAGACAAGTTTGGGACTTTTTCTTCTTGGATACTAAGAAGATTGAGAAATTGTTGAGAAAAAGTTGATTCTTAGCTGCAAAAGTTGATGGAGTTAACAGAGATGGCTAAGCTGACTGCTTTGATTTAAGAAAAACACAATTACTTTTGTTCCTATTTGGAAACCATTTCTGAACTTTGTGCTTGAGGTGGAAAAAAATGAAACTTTAATTTTGGGTTTTACTGATTGGATAGATTTGCTGTTATAGAAATGGCTAGTTTATACTACTATGTAAAAGTAAAAACTTGAGTTTTGATGTTATTATCTTATTCTACTGCCCCAAAGGGGTTAGGGTTAGGGTTTTCTTTCTTTTTCCTCTTTTTTTTTACACTTTTCCCTCCCCTCCCCTATTTTTTCCTATTTTTTTTGTATTTTATATTATAAACTAATAAAAAAGAGATCCTTGAGAAAAAGAGAATTTATAATTATTCGTAGACATTCCAGAGAAGAAAAATATTTTATTCTGTGAAGATAAATTGGAAGGAATGACTTAAACTTAATGAGTTAATTGGAATTAGGATGGATTTTTATCAATCTAATATATGTAATTGAAAATTTATGTAATTGAAAATCTTACATACATACATACTACATACATACATACATACATACATACATATGTAAGGTTTTATTGAAAGTATATTTGAAAGTCTTTGTGTTAAGAAAAACTTTTAAAAAGATGTATTAGCTTTAAAAAAGTTTAGAGTCTTAACATGGATGTATATAAGGAAAAATATTCTACGAGGATAACTTAGGGGTTATTTAAATTTAATGAACTGGCTTTTTATTGGTCTGATCTATGTAATTGAAAGAAAGTTTTAATGCAGCTTGTATTTTGTTTTTCTTTCATATATAATTTTTGAGTAATTTTAAAGCTTGTAAAATACTACTGAAAATGAATTTTAAAGTATGTACGGAGGAAGTTAAAAATATGTATTAAAATTGATTTTAGAAATGTTTTTAAAGAAATGTTTAGTGTTTTAAAATAAAAGAAAAGGTTTTTTTCTCTTTAAAGAATCTGAAATAATATATTGAGTTTTGTTAATATAAATGGTAGTTTATAAAGTTTATAAAGATTATTAAGTGCAAACAGAAATATATAATTTCCACAGCAAGGAAGAAAAGGCAAAGATGGTTAAACTGACTGTTCTATTCAAAGAAGAGATTATATTTAATTATGTTTTTTATTTGGAAATCGCTTCTGGATTTTATGCTTGCAATAATAAAATGAAACTTTGATTTTGGTTTTGCTGATTAGATAGATTTGTGGTTATAGAAATGGCAGAAGTCAATATTTTTTCCTCCCCCTTTTAACTTACATTTTCTTCTCCTGTCCCTTTTCCTTCTCCTAGTTTCCCTTTACTTTTATTTTCCTTTGTATTTTATATTTTGATAAACATAACAAAGTTGAAAACAAAAGAACAGAAAGATTCTTACTGGCTACAGAAACATTTGGAAATTATTATTTCTGCCAAAGGAGATGTATTTTTGTCAGGTGAAAGAGTATCCAAATGTACAATATTAACTCTTTTCTTATTCTGTCTCTGTCACTAATTCCATATATATCATATATTTGCATTCAAATTTGCAGAACTATGTCATTTTTAAGAGCCGTGGTGGTGCAGTGGTTAGAATGCAGTATTGCAGTCAAATTCTGCTGACTGCTAGCAGTTTAACAGTTCGAGTCTCACTGGCTCAAGGCTGACTCAGCCTTCCATCCTTTCGAGGTCAGTAAAACGAGGACCCAGATTGCTGGGGGCAATATGCTGAATCTGTAAACCGCTTAGAGAGGGCTGTAAAGCATTATGAAGTGGTATATAAGCTTAAGTGTTATCATTATTGCTAAGTGATATTTTTAATTTAATATGTAGAGGTTGTGTCAAATTTTATTCATCGTAACATTCCATTTGACCATGGGAATTTAAACTTTTGCATACAACCGAACAGTAACACAAGAAATGTTCTTTTGCACTAAAAGACATAATTAACACCTGTGTATTTGTGGTGGTGAAGAATATCTAAAACTATAAAAAGTATAATAAACCAGACTGATGATGCACAATGTACAGAATATATGTAGAGCAGGATTGTGCAAACTATTGCATACGGTCTAAGTAGAGAACTCGAGCTGGCATATTTGGGCAGAGTATACCTGGATGGAGAGTAAAGGAAAGCTCACCTGAAATAGTATAGTACAGGAGAAAAGAGGGAGCAGAAAGATTGAGCAGAGAGAAGGTGGGCTGGCTAGGTATGACATCAAACAAGTGGATATGCCTAGCAGTGACAATGGGCAGGATGGGTCTGTACAGCAGCGGCAGGAGGGCACACAGCTAAAGGAAAGGAAGGTTGAAGAATTGGGAAAGGGTGGGCATTGTTTATCCTTAGGCATCAGGGGGTTGTATGCAGGGGTGCGCTGCTGAGGGCTCGCAGGGGTTCTGGAGAGTCCCTAGCTAAAATTCTGTGCAGTTCGGAGAACCCCCAAATCCCATTCCTAGCTGGCCCTGTCCCACCCCACCCTCCCAGGAGTCCCCACACAGCCCATTTTGGATGCAGGGAAGTGCAGGGTGTGTGTGGAGGCTCAGGGAGAGTGAAAAACAGGCCTCGCGGAAGTTTGGAAATGCCAGAAATGGGTCCGTTTTCGCTTCCAGAGAGCTTCCGGA